AACAGCAGTTGGACGTTAAACATGGAAAATACAATGTTAATGTATAGAGTTGGAGTTGGTTTGATGTGGTTTGAGTTGGTTTAAATAGAGTTTTATAATTGATTGTATCCGGTTTATGTAGACCGAGTAAACCGATACTATAAGATGTAAACGTTAAGCTTCATTGATGAATAACAGAAAGTTCTTTCCGTTTTGAGATTCTTCTCTGATGATCGAACTCTACTAACATGGCATCAGAGCGGTGAGGCTCGACAACTCACCCGATTCTGTTCACGTTTCTTTCTCAAGCTCAAAAATGGTGCGGATCGGTCGTCGTTCAGCTCGTGCGACGTCTTCCGCTCGTCGATCTGCAAATCCGGAGGTTTCGCCACCACACTCGACGATCGCTTCATCGGAATCCTTCGATAACATTCACTCTCCTTACTACCTCACCAACAGCGATAATCCAGGTCTATCACTCGTCTCTGAAGTTCTAGATGGTACGAATTACGATAATTGGTGTATAGCTATGACCATAGCGTTAGATGCGAAGAACAAATCTGCGTTTATTGATGGTTCTCTAGCTAGGCCAAGTGATTCTCATCCTCACTTCAGGATCTGGTCTCGTTGTAACTCAATGGTGAAATCATGGATATTGAATGCTGTTTCAAAACAAATCTATAAAAGTATTCTCAGGTTCAACGATGCTTCGGAAATCTGGAAGGATCTAGCCACCAGATATCACATCACCAATCTTCCGCGGTCCTATCAGTTATCTCAGCAAATATGGTCTTTGCAGCAGGGTTCTCTGGATCTTGCTACCTATTACACCACTCTGAAGACCTTATGGGATGAATTAGATAGCGCAAATTGTGTGGATACTTGCCACAATTGTGACTGTTGCAAAGCTATGAACAAGAAGGCTGAACATTCTAAAATTGTGAAGTTTTTGGCTGGTCTTAATGAGTCTTACGCGACCATTAGGAGTCAGATTATCATGAAGAAGAATGTACCTGACTTAGCTGAGATATATAATCTTCTGGATCAGGACTTTAACCAGAGAAATCTCAGTGCTACTCACAATGCTTCTGCATTTCAGGTATCATCAACTTCTCAGATTTTAGCTACGCAGTCCAACTATTCTAATCAGAAACAACAAAAGCCTATCTGCACTCATTGTGGATATACTGGTCACACGGTTGATACATGCTACAAAATTCATGGATATCCAGTGGATTTTAAGCATAAGAACAAACCGAAGACTGAGAAATCTGTTTCTTCAGCTAAATCACCAAGCTACACCAAACCTGTGGTTGCTCAGCTTACTATGGATTCTTCTGAAGTTACTGGACAGAACATTTCCAACATGGTTAATAGTCTCACAAAAGATCAGATCCAAGGAGTTATTGCTTACTTCAACTCGAAGCTGCAACCTCTCTCCAATCACTCTGGTGCTTCTTCCTCTGGTGCCACCATCACGGCTTTACCTGGTATGGCTTATTCTACATCTACTCTTAAATTTGTAGCTATCCTACAGGCAACTCGAAGTGTTTTGGGATCTTCTTCTTGGATTGTTGACAGTGGTGCTACTCACCATGTTACTTGTGATAAGAGCAGATTTGAATCTTTCTCTCCTGCTCAGAATGCCTCTGTGACTCTCCCTACTGGTTTGGGTGTTTCTATTGAGGGAGTTGGAGTTGTTAGACTCAGTAGTAAATTGGTTCTTACTAATGTACTCTACATTCCTGAGTTTCGTCTCAGTCTGTTGAGTGTGAGTCAAGTTACTAAAGACTTGAGTTATCGTGTGATGTTTGATGGTTCTTCTTGTATGATTCAGGATCCTACCAAGGGGCTGATGATTGGTCAGGGTGAAGAGATCTCCAACCTCTACGTTCTTGATGTTTCCTCTCTCCCGGAATCCTCACACACTGAAGTTACCTCAAGTTTACCTTTTTGCTCAAATATTGTTGCCGATTCTACTTTATGGCACAATAGATTAGGGCATCCTGCTTTGTCTAAAACCGATACTCTGAACTCTGTACTTGGTTTAAAAGAGACAAATAAAATAAGTCATTGTGATATTTGTCATCTTGCAAAGCAGAAACACCTCCCTTTTATCTCCCACAACAATATTTGTGATCACCCTTTTGAAATGTTGCATATTGATGTGTGGGGACCCTTCTCTGTATCTACACCTGAAGGTTACAAATACTTCCTCACCATAGTTGATGATCATACACGGGTAACATGGATCTATTTACTTCGCAGTAAGGATGAGGTTATTACAATTTTTCCTCAGTTTCTGCAGATGATTGAAACGCAACATAAGGCTGTGGTAAAGGGTGTCAGGTCTGATAATGCTCCAGAGCTTCGCTTCACTGATCTTTTCAAGCAGAAAGGCATAGTAGCTTACCATTCCTGTCCTGAAACGCCTGAACAAAACTCAGTGGTGGAGAGAAAACACCAACATATACTCAATGTGGCTCGTTCTCTGATGTTCAAGTCTCAGGTTCCTTTGGTACATTGGGGAGATTGTGTGCTCACGGCTGTGTTCTTGATCAACAGACTTCCTACTCCACGTCTAAACAACAAGACTCCTTTCGAGTTGCTCACATCTAAGAAGGTTATCTACTCTGATTTGCGAGTCTTTGGTTGTCTAGCGTATATGTCTACTTCTTCTAAAGGTCGACATAAGTTTCAACCTCGTTCTAAACCATGTGTATTCCTTGGGTATCCTGCTGGTTATAAGGGTTATAAGTTGTTGGATCTTGAGAGTAACAAGATTCATATCTCCAGGAATGTGTCCTTTCATGAAGATATTTTTCCTTTTGCTGAGGATACACCGGTTTATTCTCCTGCTTTCTTGAATACAGACTGGATGACAACAGCTCCTGATACATCTGTTCCATCTTCCTCTGCTACTCCAGAAACAGAGAATGTTGGTTTTTCTTCCCGGTATAAATCTCAACGTGTTTCAAGACCACCGGGACATCTCAATGAATACTACTGTCATCTCACTGAGACATATGTTCCGTATCCTCTTGCAGCTTATATTTCCTTTGCTAAACTTTCAGAAGGATATGAGAATTATATTTGTGCTCTTTCTAAACACATAGAGCCTGCTTCTTTCACACAAGCCAAGAAGTTTTCTGAATGGCTTCACGCCATGAATGAAGAACTCTTAGCTCTTGAGAGCACTGGTACTTGGAAGGTTGTCTCTCTTCCACCTGGTAAGCATGCTATCGGCTGTAAATGGGTTTATAAAGTGAAGCTTAATGCCGATGGTACACTGGAACGTTACAAAGCGAGATTAGTGGCTAAAGGGTATACTCAACAAGAGGGAGTGGATTTTGTTGATACTTTCTCCCCTGTTGCTAAAATGACTACTGTCAAAACACTTCTAGCCGTCTCTGCTGCAAAACAATGGAGTCTCACTCAATTGGACATTTCCAATGCTTTTCTTAATGGGGACTTACATGAGGAAATCTATATGAAGTTACCACCGGGATATACACCAAAACAGGGGGAAGTCTTGCCGTCTAATGCTGTTTGTAAGTTGGAGAAGTCTCTCTATGGACTCAAGCAAGCTTCTAGGCAATGGTTCTTGAAATTTAGTTCTACTCTGAAGTCATTGGGGTTTGTTAAATCTCATACTGATCACACTTTGTTCATCAAGAATGTTGATGGCACTTATATTGCTGTTTTGGTCTATGTGGACGACATTGTTATTGCCAGTAACAATGACACTGCAGTTGATCAACTTAAAGCAAGTCTCAGTGCTATCTTCAAGCTCCGTGATCTTGGTCCCTTGAAATTTTTCCTTGGACTTGAGATTGCTCGTTCAAGTACGGGGATTTCAATTTGTCAACGAAAATATATCTTGGATTTGCTTGAAGAAACTGGACTGTTGGCTTGTAAACCAGCTTCTGTTCCTATGGATCCTAATGCTAAGCTCTTCTATGATAAAGATCAACCTCTCCTGGATGATCCTACAGTATATAGACGTCTTGTTGGTCGGTTAATGTACCTGACTATTACTCGTCCGGATATTACTTACTCGGTCAACAAGTTATGTCAGTTTGCTTCAGCCCCACAAAATGCACATCTTAAGGCTGCCTTTCGTGTGCTCCATTATCTCAAAGGTTCTCTTGGAGTTGGTTTGTTCTATTCCTCGGACTCAGACTTGACTCTTAAGACATACACTGATGCAGATTGGGGCTCTTGCCTTGACACACGTCGCTCCACATCTGGCTTCTGTATGTTCCTTGGCACTGCTCTTATTGCTTGGAAATCCAAGAAACAGGATGTTGTCTCTCATTCTTCAGCCGAGTCTGAGTACAGGGCCATGTCTGTTGCTGTCAAAGAGGTGGTTTGGATTGCTAATCTCTTGCGTGAGCTTCATGCGCCTCAAGTAAAACCTATTCCTTTCTTCTGTGATTCAACTGCTGCAATACATATTGCTAACAATCCAGTTTATCATGAACGTACTAAGCATGTTGAACTGGATTGTCACCAAGTTCGAGACCGTATTGACAGTGGTTTGATCAAAACTCTACACGTTGGTTCTACTACTCAGATAGCTGATGTGTTAACCAAGCCTCTCTATCCTACTCAGTTCAATTCTCTGATTTCCAAGATGTCGTTACATTCCATTTACTCGTCATCTTGAGGGGGAATGTTAATGTATAGAGTTGGAGTTGGTTTGATGTGGTTTGAGTTGGTTTAAACAGAGTTTTATAATTGATTGTATCCGGTTTATGTAGACCGAGTAAACCGATACTATAAGATGTAAACGTTAAGCTTCATTGATGAATAACAGAAAGTTCTTTCCGTTTTGAGATTCTTCTCTGATGATCGAACTCTACTAACATACAACATGGAGGTTTACGTGAATGTGGTGCAAGATCATGAATGGTGTATAGAAGAGTTTTACACGTCACATGTGTTTAATAAAAGGTGTGGGTTGATATTCACAAAGAAGAAGAAGGGTAAAAAGAAGTTAGAATATACGTGGGTGGAAATCAGCCCTGAGCACTGTTCATCGACGAAGTACTATTCACAGGTACTGTTCACAACGGATGCTATTCATCGAACCCGAGCAATGGGAGACAAGCTTGTAACAACAAAGTTGAAGGAGGAAGAACAAGAAGTTGAAGCCAGAGGTAGTGGACGATCCGATAGCTATAAGAACGGTTCATACAACAATTGGTATCCTAGAAGTTGCACATATCTTCATTGTAGCTTCACAAGACTCTTTGTATCTTTGCATATCTCTACTTATCATCCCTACATAGAAAGATAGATCTGGTCTGGTCGTATAAAGCAAATATCTAAGACAGCTGATATTCCTCATGTATATTGTAGCATTGTTGTCTCCTTCAGTTTCTTCCTTTGTCCTTTTCAACAAATTACCCAACATGTTCAGTTCTTTCCCCATTGAAGATACTTCCTCATCAAACTGTTTCACGTGGTTCACTAAACCTGCGTCTCTCATCTCCTCATCTACCGTTGAGCTCTCAAACCGTTTCTTGGTTTGTTCCACCTCGTGAAGCATTTTCTCGTACTTCTCGTTTGTTGATCTGATGACCTTGTTTTCTAAACTCTTCCTAGCTGTCTCGGTTTTCTCTTTTGACCTCTCTAGCTCTGACAAGATCTTACTCTTCCCCACTTTGACAGTTTTAAGCTCAGTCTTTAGTTTCATTTCCTCTCGATTAATCATGTTTTCCCTCATAACTCGAGGGTTCTGAGAACCATCACTTCTGTACTCTCTTAAGCCAATAATAAACGTTACAGAAATCCCACGACTTTCTTTTCCAGCATAGTCTTTCCTTGCATAACCAATGTAACCAAAAACTCTAAACACCTCAACGTTTGGTTTCTTCCCTTTCAGTCCTTTGCATGAAAATCTTCCAACTAACAATCAACTTGCTATTTGATTAATTAAATATATAGCACATCTCGTAAACTCTCTCCATAGATAGTTAGGTGTACTTATCTGCTTTAAGATATTCTTAATCATCTTTGCTAGCGTCATGTTATGACTTTCCACCACTCCGTTACGTTTATGAGCGTAAAGTGCAGTCAAGTATCTCTTAATACCGTGTTTATTTCTGTATTCTTGGAACTCATAAGACACAAGCTTTCCACCTACACCGGTTTGTAACGTTTTGATCGTAGTTCTCGTTTCTTGTTCAGAAAGTATCTTGAGTTTCTTGAACTTATCCAATACCTCACTCTTTGAATAACCCTTCAAACGCTCAACCTCTCCTTTTGGATCTTGTAGTTTGATAGTCATTTCCTGTAGCTCATGGAACAAAGTATCTGTGAATGGTTTTACAGTGTCCTTAAACGTAACAGAGTCAACAAGTGACATAAGCGTCTGAAACTTCTCAGCCTTCTTGCGCTTAACTTTGTTTTTGCTATCAAACAATATCTTTTGACTGTCACATAATTTAAGAATCTCTCCCAGAAACTCAGGGCAATCCTGACCGAAGCAGTCATCCAATATCTCGTTTGTCATGCTCTCACTTTCTGCTTCAGTGTGGTCTACAATGTCAACTAGATCCTCCACATGTAATGGCCAGATCTCTTCGTATTTGGATGACATGAGAAGAACACTGATTCCAGTTAGCTGCAGTTCTGTTCTAGGTACTGGCTTAGAAGACAAGAACTGATCCATGATGTTCACGGTGAAGTAAAACGGTTCAGGGTTTAGCTCGAATATGACACATGTATCTACCAACCACTTAACCATCACAAGTCTCATCTTCTCGTGAATCTCAGGCTTTGACCTCATGTAATCTTTTGGACGCAATTCACTCTCAGGAGACTTGTAGAAACTGTAGATATCTTTTACACATACAACAGCTGCAAGGTCATCCTTAGCATCAGCAGAGTCGATATCAAAAATCTTTTCTTTCTGTTTCTTCTCAAAACAGCAAACAGTCTTGCTTCTCGCGGTAAGAACATGTATGTAAAAGATAGATGTTTTCTTCTTAGCGGCAGGGAATATCTTCTCATGGACAGCAACTAAGACATGTTCTTCATCACTGTCTGAGCTTATCTCGATAACCTCAACATTCTTAGGTTTCTCAGCTCTTTTCTTTGGCTTTGGTACCTCGACTCTCTTCACCACAAGCTGGACGAGTGGGGCATGTTGAGAGAATGTACGAGGAAAATTAGCCTTGTCGTTCTTTGGGTGATTTCTTCGAACAACATTGCCTATATCTTCAAGAACTTGACGGGTTCTCCTTTTCCTAACATTCTTGTTATCATCATCTTTCATAACAACAACATCACCCATGGTTTGCCGAGGAACAATCGATCGAGACGCCATCATATTCTTTATTCTTGTTAGATTTGTTCTCTTTTTCTTTTTCAGTCTTTTGAAGTCTCCCAAAGTTTTGCTTGCTTCTCCTAAGCATTCTATTGTTTCCTCTTCAACCTTACTCACTTCATGAGCTATCAACCATTCTTCTGTCTGTTTCTTCAGGTTGATTTTTTTAAGCTTAAGAAATCGATCAAGACAATTTGATGCATAATGTCTGAGCTTGTTACTTAGATAAAACTGAAAAATGACTCTCTCTTCATCAATGTACGCATATCTCTCTCCATCATGCCTTTTGTTGTATGAACCGTTTTTAAGACTCTTTGTATCTTTGCATATCTCTGATACCAAATGTTGGATTAAGCTTGAAGAAAAAAGAAAACTTGAGAAATAAGTTAAAAGACCTATTCCTACCGAGAATGAATGAAACTAAGTCCCACATCGGTAGTTGGAGAAGTAATTAAGTAATATATAAAGGGTTAGGGCCAATCCACTTATCACCAATTGGTTTTAAGTTGGAAGCCCATAATAAACCCGAATCTAACATGGTATCAGAGCCACCCGATGTTGGGCCACTCTGTGGATGTTGTTCCCACATTTGTCCACGCATGAGCGTGAGGGGGAGTAATAATGAATGAAACTAAGTCCCACATCGGTAGTTGGAGAAGTAATTAAGTAATATATAAAGGGTTAGGGCCAATCCACTTATCACCAATTGGTTTTAAGTTGAAACCCATAATAAACCCGAATCTAACAGGTTTAAGGTTTCAATTTTGTTTAGGTTTTGTCTTTTCTGATGCCGAATCAGTAGGGTTAGAGTTCTCTATATATGAGTCTATTTTAACAAAGATTCTAATTTTCAGTAGGTTAAAGTTTTTTCTGGTTTTATTTCCAGTGAGTTTGTCTATGGATTTTTTATTACTAGTGGTGGCTTGAAGAAATAAATCTGCAAGTGGTATAACCAAAGTGGACCGGACCTAGAACGACGTTTGAGTTTCTTCAGTTTTGGATCCAGAGGAGATACATCTGGCGAAAACCCAACCGGTGTTGCTTCTCTTTGTCTATTGACATGTCGAAAAATATTGAAGACATGTCCGAAACAATCAAATCAGCCTAATCTTTTCTTTTTGTTTGATCTTAATTTTATGTAATAGATATTAATTGTACAAATTAATTAGCTCGGACAGAAATCTCAAAAATCCAAATTCGACCCAAAATGGCAGTATCGGATTAAGCCAAAAAATCCATCGGCTTTTATTTCATGATACTTTGGTTTTTGGGATCGGTTTGGTTCAAACCGATAACCAAAGTGTAATCTAAACTAACCCAAACATATATAACACACTACAAAAAAACTAAGAAGTTAATAGAAAATTTTACTAGGAAAATAATTCTTCGTAAATTTACTATGAACTTACTTCGATTTTACGAGGAAAACTTGTTTCCTAGTAAGGTCCTCGTACAGCTACGAGCAACATATTTCCTCGTAACACCGTAGTAAGCTTACGAGGAAATTACGTGGCAAAAGTCGATTTCCTCGTAAGCCGGTAGTAAGACAATTTCCCCGTAAAGTCTTAGTAAAGTCTTACTACGAAATTAAGAGGAATAGATTTGTTACTACGAATTAGGAGGAACTGGATAGGAAATATCAAATTTAAATCAAAAACGTGTTTTGTACCTACATTTCCTAGCAATTTCCTAGTAAATGCTCAGATTCGAAAATTTCTATAAATACCACAATTGTGATTCATTTGAAACACACCAAAAAATAATCAGCTATAAGCTTGATCAAACACAAAAAAAATGTCCGGTCCGGGAAATATTTTCGAGTTGCGGAAGTGGATGTATTCACACAGAGATAATAACGGGAGGGTGACGAAAGAATTTCTCGAAGGGTTGGAGACGTTTATGCATCAAGCAGATTCTACACCACTCACGCAGGAAAGTGGTAAGATGTTCTGTCCTTGTCGAAAATGCTGCAATACAAAATTAGGCCATCGTAAAAATGTTTGGAAGCATTTAATAAATAGAGGTTTCATGCCATATTATTATATTTGGTATCAACATGGAGAAGACGATGCTAGTTGTAGGAATGAAGGAAGCAGTAGTAATAGCAATTTTCAGCTTGAACCGGTTGATCATTTGCAGCTATCATCACCAAGAGGAACAAATGGTAGATTGTGATAGGGTTCATGATATGGTAGGTGATGCATTTGTAAGTCATGATGATGATGAAGGTGAAGAACCTAACTTAGATGCAAAAAAGTTTTATGAAATGTTAGATGCTGCGAATGAGCCAATTTACAGTGGTTGTAGAGAAGGTTTGTCTAAATTGTCTTTGGCTGCTAGAATGATGAGTATTAAAACCGATCACAATCTACCTGAAAATTGTATGGATGCATGGGCAGACTTGTTTAAAGAGTATTTGCCAGAAGACAATGTGTCTGCTGAATCTTATTATCAGATTCAGAAATTGGTATATAGTCTTGGGTTACCCTCGGAGATGATAGACGTTTGCATCGAAAACTGCATGATTTACTGGGGAGATGATGAGAAGTTAGAAGAATGTCGATTTTGTAAGAAGCCACGATTCAAACCACAAGGTCGAGGGCGTAATAGGGTACCGTACCAAAGGATGTGGTACCTACCAAACACAGACAGATTGAAAAGATTGTACCAATCTGAGGAGACTGCTGGAGGGATGAGATGGCACGCCGAGCATACTCAGACGGATGGAGAGATGACTCATCCATCAGATGCAAGAGCCTGGAAACATTTTAACAATGTACATCCACTTTTCGCTAGAAATAGTCGGAATGTGTATCTTGGATTATGCACTGATGGATTTAGTCCATTTGGAATGTCTGGGAGACATTATTCATTGTGGCCGGTCTTTCTTACACCGTATAACCTGCCACCGGAGATGTGCATGCGACGAGAGTTTCTATTCATGAACATATTAATACCTGGTCCAAAACATCCAAAAAGATCTCTCGACGTTTTTCTACAACCACTGATAAAAGAGTTGAAAGGTTTGTGGTCAACAGGGGTGAGGACATATGATTGTTCAACGAAAACAAACTTTACGATGCGAACGATGCTTTTGTGGACCATAAGTGACTTTCCTGCATATGGGATGTTGTCTGGGTGGACTACACATGGGAGATTAGCTTGTCCATATTGTAATGGAATGACAGATGCGTTTCAGTTGAAGCATGGTAGGAAGACTAGTTGGTTCGATTGTCACCGTCGATTTCTTCCCATTTACCACCCATACCGAAGAAACAAGAAATTGTTCAGGCACAAAAGGGTTGTCAGAGACACTCCTCCTCCATATTTAACTGGAGAACAAATCAAAGCGAAAATCGATTACTACTGTGCTAAAGAAACAGCTTCTCGTGGTGGGAATTGGCATGTTCCCAGTAATATGCCTGATTCTTATGGTGTTCTGCACAATTGGCACAAAAGAGTATATTTTGGGAATTGCCATATTGGAAAGATCTTCTTTTGCGCCACAACCTCGATGTGATGCATATAGAGATTAATTTTTTTGAGAAAATTGTAAACACTATATTGAATGTCCCAGGGAAGACGAAAGATAACGTAAAATCAAGGTTGGACTTATCCGATATCTGCTCAAGGAGTGAGCTACATATAAAAAGCAATGGGCAAGTTACAGTTCCAATATTCAGACTGTCATCAGAAAAAAAAGTCTGCGTTGTTCAACTGGGTGGCTTCAGAAGTGAAGTTCCCTGATGGGTATGTTTTGAAATCTCTCAAGATGTGTTGAGAAAGGGCAAAAGTTCTCCGGGATGAAGAGCCATGATTGTCATGTCTTTATGCAGCGACTACTTCCCTTTGCGTTTGCGGAGCTACTACTGGCAAAAGTACATGAAGCACTTTCAGGTAATTAACTAATATAATACGATGATATGATTAATTATTTATATATATATACTAATGTGGATAATTTTTGGTTTTGTAATATATAAGGAATTGGAGCATTTTTTAGGGATCTGAGCACCCGCACTCTTAAAGTGGAAGTTGTCCAACAACTTCATGAAAACATCCCCGTCTTAATCTGCAACTTGGAGAAAATATTTCCGCCTACTTTTTCGACGTCATGGAACACCTAGTTGTCCACCTCCCGTATGAGGCATTACTTCGTGGACCCATGCATTATGGATGGATGTATCAGTATGAAAGAGCCATGAAAACTTTGAAAGGAAAAGCCAAAAACCTAGCAAGAGTTGAAGGTTCTGTTGTTGGGGGAAGTTTGACGGAAGAAACATCACATTTCACATCGTACTACTTTGCACCGAAAGTACGTACAAGGAAACGAGCTCCAAAAAGATATGATGATGGTGGTGTCGTACCGACATATATGGAAGACGATGTTCCATACATCTTTTGTCAAATTGGGCGATTGAGTGGGAAATTGAAAGAGGTTTGGTGATCGAGTGATGAAGACGTCCATAGTGAACACCTTTATATTCTTCTTAATTGCGAGCATCCATTGATTGCTTATTTTGAAAGATAAGTATATAAACATACTCACTTATATATATATATATATATTTTTTTTTTTTTCAATATTAAATATATAACATGACATATATGATTTTATAGCCAATTTGTGACTCAAGTCGAGGAAGCAATACCTGGTATATCGAAAACTGAGTTAGACAAAAGGAAAGACCAACACTTTATCAAGTGGTTGAGGAAACATGTATTTATTTATTACTTAAATTGTATGCATACATTACCACAAAGTAAGTCTAATGTCTAGTTATAATACTTGTTGTTGCAGGTTGATTATGACGATCATGAGTATCCCGCATGGTTTCGCGAATTACTTCAAGGTCCAGTTGCAAAGGTCACTACATCATCGATGTATTTCACCCGAGGCTATACTTTTCATACCTATGACTATGGTAAACACCGGGCGACAAGTAATTATGGAATGTGTGTGAAAGGTGAAACAGATTTCTACGGGATCTTGCAGGAGA